ATTTAAAGTGGTATAGCTACTTTGGAATACAACTGGACATTGTCTTACAAAGTTAAATACATTCTTATATGACCTGACAATTGAACTTCTAGGTATTTACTCAAACAAAATGAAAAATTATGTTCACACAAAATGCTACATGAGTGTTTATAGCTACTTTATTCATAATTGCCAAAAACTAGAAACAACCAACATGTCATTCAACTGGTGAATGGATAAATAAGCTATGATACATACAAAAGTGCATTATTCAGCAATACAAAGGGATATTTAACAAGTCATAAAAAGAGGTAGAGGACCCTTAAATGCATACTGCTAAGTGAAAGAAGCCAGTCTTACAAGGCTACATACTATACAATTATAACTAAAGGACATTCTGAAACGGGCAAAACTACAGAAAGAGTAAAAAAATCAGTGGTTTCCACAGGTTAGAAAGGAGGATAGGGGATACTAGGTACAGTACAGAAGATATTGAGAATAGTGAAACTATTCTATAGAATACTACAGATACATTATATGTTTCATTTGTCAAAATCCCTTAGAATTATGCAACACAGTGAACCCTGCTATAAATATTATAGCACACTAATATAAGATGTTAATAGGGAAAACTGGGGTGGGTGGGAGCATAAGGGAACTCTGCAATTTTCTGTTCCACTTTTCTGTAAACCTAAAACTGTTATAATAAGCCTATATATTAAAATGTAAAACATTCAATGAAGAGTCACATCCTATTTCCTTAATATCACCCTGTTTATCAGAATAGAACTGATACAAATACCTTGTGATCACAATAGAAAACACTGGTAATTTGTTGGGGATCACAAAGCACAGAGATGGGAAGGTCTAGGCCATTTATAATATAGCAATGAATAAGGAAAAGTCGACATTCACCCTTATTGTAAGATAACAACTGTCCTACAGTTCTGTCTGTTCTGTTTGAGATTTTCTGTTACTTGCAGCCTAAAGTATTTTAACTGATACTGCATCTACTCAGTGAATAAAACTGTTTAGACAGAACTTCATTCTGTAAATAGAATGAACTTCATTCTAGGTGGTCACACACAAAATCTTTTCTACATTAATCACAAAATAAATTAACTGTTGAAACTTTCCTTAATTATGAAGAATACTACCAATACAAATTAAAAACAAACCTCAAAGGCTTCATCTACTGAAAAAGAACTAATTCAAAATACCGGCATGATACTTCTGTTTATACTTACAGATATAACATCTTAAAATAAATATTAACCCTTCAAAAGGGTTACAAAAACTTGCAGTAAGACTGACAGGATTTAAATCCTACTTGAATCACTTGTTAGCTGTGTGACCTTATGTAATTTACTTAATCATGCATATATCAATTTTTATGTGAAGATTTTTGTATTGGTATAAGAGGATTAAAGACAGAATCCTTGCCTGTAAAGTTGCTATCATGAGCAAATGTGATAATCTATGGAAATGGCTTAGTCCCAGCTAGCCCTTAGTAAGGACTCAGTAAATGTTAGCTACTAGTGGTGATGATAAAATTTATTATAATCCAAATTAGATTGTGCTTAACTGAGAATGAGAAACTCAACTATTTGTAGTGCCTGCTACACAGGAACCACAGGAAGTAGTGGTTACTACTTCCAATGTTAACATTGATATTACTATTAGCTGTTACCAAGAGATGCGCACTTTGGGCACATAGTCCGGTGAGGTTAACCGGAAAAGAAGAAAAAAATTCTTCCAGATTATTCCTCTATTAAACATGTAACTACATAAAACAAAATACTACTTAGATGGGGCAATTTGTATAACTTTATTTATAAAGTACTTAGGGCATTTTCAAGGATGACACATTTCATTTCCTTTTATTTTCTATAAAATTCTCCAGGAACACCCAGGGAGTTTAATTTCCCTTAATCTTATATAGAACTCCCCAAAAACAAGTTTTAAAAGTTTTTAATTAAGAGTTATAGATAATCTAAAAACCATATTCCAAAATAGCTACTTCACCTTATAGAAAACAAAAATAAACAAAATTGAATAAATATACTTATTTCCTATAAGTTCCTTCAAATCAATTCAGCCAGAGAAAGTACTTAGCTATCAATGAGTAGAAAGTCATCTTATTTGAATCTAACACTATTTGACACTTTGCTACCTTACAGGTACAATGATACTCACTTGAAAAGCGAATTTTTTGGCCTCTGAGGTTTCTTCTTAGCAAAAAACGCTGCAAACTCTCGTCCAGTACTGGCATAGCTTAGTTGAGCTGATGGTTCAGAGGCCGTACGAGTGTTTTTCATATCCAAGTACTCAGTCAACAGCATCTGTACAATAACAAAAACAGTTTAATTTATATGTCTATAATGTGCTATCATGTGAATCACTCTTTACTTCCATTACAGAGCCATGTAACAAGCCAGCAAGTCAAATATACATATTGATATATACTATATATAGAGAGTGAATTTCTGAATTTTTAAAAAAGTAGTAAGAAGCTTAATGCATATGTTATTACATGCAAGTTTGAGAAATTTCCAAAGTAGAACGAATCCTGCAAATTAGTTCTCAGTACAAAAATGTATAATACAAGAAAAATAAAAAAGGAACAGGGGCAATTTTAACAATAGGCTAACTAGTTGTGATGTATGTTTGCATATATTTGTTTGCTTTATTGTTCTTCTCTTTTATTCTAATACCATTTACCACTAGCTGGAAAGTACTGTTTTAAAATAGGGTAAAGTTTTATTTTGATACTCAAATTGGTAAAAGTGCACTTTAAAATATTTCAAACAACAAATCCTCTATTCCTAAACTGCTTGAAATTGGCTTAAGTTAGGCTAAACCTTCCACTGCCAAGTCTTGACACAAACATGAGATGCCTGGTATTAAAATATAACTAGAGGCTAGGACATAGACTGTGTATTTAGTATACACAAGACCCTGGGTTCAATTCCTATCACCAAAAATAGACAGACAGATAGGTAGAGACAGATGATAGATGATAGATAGATAGACAGACAGATAGATAATAGATACAGACAGATAGATGATAAATGAGATAGAGAAAAAGATAAAACAAATTAAACTAATTAATAACATAACATCATAACATACACAATACCATAACATAAAATCATAACATATAAAAGACCATAACATACAAAGATCATAACATATAAAACACTTTCTGTCCACAAAAATCTGTGGAAGATAATTCTACATTATGGCTCCAAATTACTTCCTGTCTCAGACACTAAATTCATTTCTATTTTTAAGTAGCAGGAATTGAAATTTCTTATTGACCAATAGTTCAAACACAAAGACAAAGTTTATGGATGTTTTAAATTTAACTTTGTAAGGCTTTACTCTATAAAACAAAAGATAAGAAACACAATGACAGAGTTGGAAAGCACTTTGAAATCTATATATCCCACTAATTTGTTGAGAGCCTGGTATGTTGAATGACTCTCAGGAAAAAGCAAAGGTATATAATACCCTAAATAACATACAAACTGGTGTGAATAGGCATCTCTTCTGTTATAATTTTGGCTCTGTAAAAGCAGAGCCAAAAATTTGAGATAATATTGGTTACACTATTCTCGATGAATTTTCCATTTTACCACTTAATCTCTATTTAACATATTGCCTGTGGCTAAATGTGGCCACAGATGCAGAATGTTCTAAAAATAAATATGGAATTTATAGGCTTAGAATGAACACATCTCCTCTTTTATGCTTCTTCATTCATCCAGGTAGCTGCTTATTTAAATTCTCAGATCCACCTAAGCGCTTAACATGGTCAATTCCTTTCAGGAAACTTTCTAGCTTATAAAACCATCTCCTCAACTAAGAAATGTTCCCCAATGACATAGCAGACTGTCTAGTAGCCGTGCTTATAATCTGTGATCCTACCTTCTCAGCTACAGCTGAGATATGCACCAGCAAGAGCACCAATCTCCAATTACTCAATAAAATTCTCTTTCCAGGGATACTTGTCTCTGCTCATCAATGTAAGTGAGGAGCTGCAAATTATTTGGAACACTGAACCTTTGCCATGAGGATAGAAAAATCAAGTCAATCTTCAAAACATAAACTAGATGGCTAGAGAGAAATAGGAGACTCAAAAGAGAAAAATTTAAAGGTTGCAACCTTTCTATGTTTTCCATCATTTTACACATCTCAAATCTAGTCACTGAAAAGGGTTCAGATTATATACCCTTTAGTTTCACAATATCTCTCTAATGTTTTTTTTCCTTATGATAGCTTGAATAGATTTTTGTTCTTTCACTGAGATATCAACAGACAGATGAGTGACATTCATATCACAATTACTGCTTTTGTAGACATCTACTATGTCATGAAAGCACTCCTCCTTACCAATTCTCCTGATTACTAACTTAACATATTCAATGACTTATAGAAAAGCCATACTATAAATGTACTCTTAAAGAGTTAGAGAATTAGACTGATTCTTATGACAGGAACAATAAGGTGGAAAAAAAATTACCTTGAGTTTTCAACATGAACTAAACCTCATCTTCTCTTGGTCAATACTTTGTTTTTGCATATTTGAAATATTGTAAATTTCAATAATCTGCTCTTTGAAAATACAGATGGCCAGGAAATTGTGCTCTAAGTACAGCAAAAGTTTTCTTATTTTTTTACTTTTAGAGCTTTATTTAAAAATTTATAACAAAGGAATATATACATATATATTTTTTCTTTTTTTTAAATCAAGCTGAACCAAAATGCTTATAATTAAGGTGACCATATGCTGGTCACTATAATAAGAAATGTTTGAAGGTCTAAAAGAGAAGAAGGAAAGGCAAAACCAGGGCAAAATACCCTCAAATTATCACAGTGATTCCTGAAATATATACATTAATGAAAGAATATAGCAATGATTTAAAACAAAGACCTCCATTTATAATTACTAAAAATCATCAGATTTTCCCCAATAGAATTGCTAGAGAATGGTATCCTGACAAAGAAAAAAGAGTAAAATTTATTTTTTCCAATACAGCAACATAATATCCCCATTATACAAGGACTAAAATATTCTGCAATAAGGAAACCAAAGGAAAAATAAAGTCATTGTGAAAATGGAATGGCTGTCTGCTTAATTATACTCATTAGCAATGGCAATTTATTATTAAAGCCATTTAGTATGGCCTTGTGAATAGTATACTTTGGTATTCAGAGTTAAAAAAAATAAAAAATTCTGAGAGTACACATGTACTCTTGTACTGCATCAAACACCTGATCAGCAAAGCCAACATCAAAGAGCTCATGTTTTGCTTTTATTTTTTATTCTTTTTCCCCAATGGAAGAGCTTGTCAAAAAGAAATCTCAGTTTTGACTGCTTCCAAAGAATGTTTTTATTTACTTTCAATAAACTATACATTTATTTAATACACAAAATATGCAAGGTATTGTGCTGAATATAAAAACTGGACTCAAAAATACATCCTTCCCTCAATGTACTTATAGAGCACAATGAGAGTACGTATAAAACAAAGAAGAAAATGGAAAGACATCAGGACACAGAAATGGCCAAGAGCACTTATAGTAGAGCAAGATTACTTCTAATTAGGATAATTTTTAAAAAGCTTTAAGATCATGGCACTATCGAAGGGCAAAAGTAGAATCTTAGAATGTGTAAAGGTCCAAAAACGTGGCAGACAGAAGAAGCAGAGAAATATTGCTGGAAAAAGGGCATTTTCTTTCTGTCTGTATCCTGGTGTATTGTATCCTTTGTGCCTCTCAGTCTTCACAACATTTCCCTCAATTCCCAATGAAAGGTACTTAACATACTTCCTGGCACTCAGTAGGTATAAAGTGAACATTAATTGAATCTGAATCAGCACCTGTTATTTCTGAAAATGCCATTTTGAGTGAATTATAAGAATATTTTTATGTGTGTCAATATTCACATATTATAGAAAAGCAACATGAAAGAGTCTTTAGTAAGTAAACTGCTTATTGAAAATGCTGGTTCTTAGCCACTTAATTGAATAAACTGTCTCCAGAGAGTAATTTGGATTTTTTCCAAGATGCATTAACTCTTTCAGGTTATAAGGGTAGCACTTATCTCAGTGGAGCAGAAATTTAATAAATGGTATTCCTCTAATGTGAGTAAATTAATGTACCCCAAAAAGCCTGAAGTTTCACCATGGGTGTTATGGTTATACTTTGGGGAGCTCTTCTGTGAATGTGGAACATCAGTAAATACCTGCCCTTTAGAATAAATTATTTTCAATTTAGGTAACCTACTAGAGAGTACCTACTTTGTTTAAGGTGCTGTGTTAGATGTTGACAGAGTTACAATGAAAAGACATATATAGCCTGAACTAAGAGTCAAGAGAAAAATCAAGTCACTGCAAGATCCAATGCTTGCGAGATCCAGGCTGCTGTTTTGGTTTTTGCAGAGTTGACAGTTAAGATAGATGGAAATCTTCTGGAAGACAGGAATCATGACTTGTTCGCATAGTATTCTCATTCATGTTTATTACCTCAATATAGAATTGCGTATATATAAATTGGAAAATATACATAGATATGAGAACTATGAGCTAGATCAGTCAGAAGCATTTTAAAAATAATTTTCTTATATATGCCATTTTCTCCTTATGTAACTATAGATTCTTAATGTCTGACTTTGACACAAAGTGACCATATTAACAAAAAATCAAAACAATTTTTGCAAGCATCTTTTGAAGATATGCTAATTGGTTCCCTATAACCTCAGTCTTAGTTTCATCCTACTGGTGGAATATTGACATACAGCTAAAAAAGAGGATAAATAACAGTGTCTGTTCCACACACTAGCACATTACACGTCAGATGATGGGAGGATAGAGGCTGCATTCATCATAAGACCAAGAAGTGTCATAAAAAGACCACGGCAAAAAGAACTTTCAAAAGAAGAGGATGGAGATAACAACTGTAAAAGAAGCTACAACTTCAAAGCTGTAGAACCTACCTCTGTTTCCTCATGCATGGGATGGACTACCATATCCATGGACTCTAGTTAGTAACTTCTGGCTGGAGCTAAACTGGTTTTCTAAAATTGATTAAGTTCTACTTAGAGTCACTTTCTTGATCTCATTTCCCATTCTTTTTTGTCCCCCCTTTGGCCCTGGGGTTTGAACTCAGAGCCTCACACTAGGTAGGTGTGCCAACTCCACCACTTGAGCCACACCAGCCTCATTTCCCATTCTTGATAGATGAAAGGAAGAGTTATAGGCTGGAAGAAAAAAAAAGATAATTTCAGATATGATGAAAAACTTTGAGATATTTAGGGAATAGTAAATTAAACAATTTA